ATTTCCCTTGGAGCTAGCGGATACTTTTGGTATGTTGGCGTGGATCCCTGTTGTGAGGAATATGCAAGTTAAGGACATTTTAAAAGTTGGCCCAGTACCCTTTATGCGGTTAAGCCGAATATGAAGTTGCCATTAACTTTTATGGGAACTAATTTGCGGATCCCTTAGAAAAAAATGTTTGAGTTAATGTTCAGCTTCTGCACATATGACTTTTCCTTGTTTGTCTTTCTTGACGAAATTCATCCGATTTTAGTCTGGCTCCTTTAAACTACCTTGGCATGTTTTTACTTCGTCCGTTTGTTACACTTGCGGCCGGAATAGCATGGGTTCAATTCCCGGGTTTGCCTGGTGGAACTTGTTTCCTAAGGGAAAGTAGATGGCCGATTTTCTTGAGTTCATCCTCCTGCAAATGAGAATTGTTTTAATTGTTTATAGATGGGAGTTTTTGATAGATTGCGATTTGTGTCTAACTTTCGTGCCAATGGCACCTGGACAGTCGAATACACTGGTTTGCCACAGGCGTTATGCTGGAACGCTTTGTCCCAATCCGCCCAGTATTGGTCCTGACAGGCAGGGTTTATGCCTGCCTCTTAGATGATCTTAATTGTGTCGATGTAGACGTAAAAATACGTATATTGAAAAAAGAAAGTTTTTCTTTTCCGAAAGGACGCCAATTGTAGGTTCTACTTCTTTTCTATTACCTGTTGTTTCTGTTTTTTCCCTGCACTTAATGGCTGATTATTAGGACTATGTGTATTTCTTTACACAAACAGGCAAACAAACAACCCAAAAGGAGTTTTCTGCCATATGTCAAGAGGGTGATTGACGGACGCTTGTGGTAGATCCCACTTCTTTAATATTTCTATGTTGTTTCTGTCTGCCTATCTTACAACTTCCCAGCACTAAATTATCACTATTGTGTCGATGTTATTTTCATTACTCAAACAAACAAACAAACAATCAACCATTGTTCCTGTTCGTCTTGGGCTTTTCAGACATTTGTCTTTAACTGTTAGTCCTAATCACCACGCAAGTGTCTATCCGGGACTTGGCTTACAGATAATCCGTGTTTATCGGTCCGTGCTCTACAGCAATGGCGCTTGAAAGAAAAAGACGGCACTTTTATTGTCTGTTAAGGGGTACAGAGTGTTTGATAGTGATAGCTGTGTTTAGAAATGATGCAAGTATACAGATAGGTTGTTGTATGCTTTTTGAAGGGCCTACTGCAGTCGCCGAAGGAGATAAATGGACAAAAGAGAAAGTCTGTCTGTCTGTTTTCCACCCTTTTAAGTTTTAATAACAAGGACAAGCTATGTAAGTTGCTCTCTCTCTCTCTCTCT